CTGCAAAGGCCCCGAGGGCAGAACTGAAAAATGCAGTATTTGAAAGTGGCGCCCGAATTGCAGCATGGCGCCAGTTGTCCAAAATCCTATGGTACCAAAGGAGGGGTTTGGAAAAAGGGTGCCAGGATGAAAACGGGATGCAGCTGAAACAGCAAAAAGATAGACCAGGGATCGAGCCCTGGCGGTGTCCGTAACACCCACGGCCGAGATATGGGAAAGGTAGCGGTGGTTTAATGATGAAACAAAACGACTAATGGATTTCCATGATAAGGTCAGGCAGAAAATCGTTGTTCTTGACACATTTATGTCTGATGAACATGGAAGGGTTTAGTAGCGGAAACATATGTTCTGTCTACCCGATGGACATGAGGAGATAGTGGCACCTTGGGCAGATGATGGGTCTGCTTTCTATCAGCATAGACTGAAGGAAGAGAAGATGAAAGAGGCACCCTTGTCGGAAACCCTTTCTGTCTAACTGTCAACGAATGTTCTCTAAACCGCCAGTACACAGCCCCAGCCTTGATGAAAATGAACTCGTCACCCATCCAAACATTTGGGAGGCTTGGGGTGACAGGACCACAATGACTGGCGGCGCCAGCCAAAAAAGAAAGAAATGTGATGGTTTAACCCTCATAATTTGTGCGTATGCGTCTGGAAGAGAACATTGAATAGGTACATGTTCTCGTCTCCTTTCCAAGTTGAGGTCCTTCCTATGTTGGCAGTCCTAGATCAAGGAATGATCTTCAACTCTCCTGACCCTTTGGGAGATGTTTCTCATCCACATTTACAGGAGACATGAAGCTGTGTCACACCAACTCACTTGTTAGAGGCTGGCGCTTCTAACTGAAACTTTTGAGAGGATCACCTGTGAAGGGATTTAGCCCTACTTACTGGCTCCTTTTGTCTCTTCTGGTGAATCTGGTCTAGGAGAAAAGGAGAGCTGGATTTCTGCTTTGAACTGGTGTAGTAAGTTATGAAATTCTTGTTTTCATTTTGTCGCGCTTGCAATTTGGCAGGTGAGATTTATTGCTTCTGTGCCGGGGTTTCATTCTGTACACAGTTTGAACAAGTGGGGTGCTTTGAAAGTGAAGAATGTTCTGGAGCAAGAGACATTTGATGAGTGCTTCAAGGACTCCCCACTTGTGATGCAGGTATGTACTCTCCTCCCACTCCCCTATCATGCTTCCTCTCCCTTTCTCTGGGCATGCTCTCTCTCTCTCTCTCTCTCTCTCTCTCTCTCTCTCTCTCTCTCTCTCTCTCTCTCTCTCTCTCTCTCTCTCTCTCTCTCTCTCTC